CAGCTCAGCAGCCGGTGAGAGAGGTTTACGTCTTTTTAATGACTTGGAATCACTGCGGCGCCGCACCCACCGCACCGCAACAGTAAGACCGGAGTCAGAGTGAGCCTGGGGTCAAGGCTTATTCAAAACATGTTACTGTTTAAGTGTATGTAATTTGTTTTGATTCTCATTACCTTTCCATTGTTGTAAGTAAGGGGGAACGAACACTGCCCAGATCAGAACAGGGCAGAATGCTGTGCAATAAGGGCTGTATGATGACTGTTCTCTCTTTGCAAAGATATTAATAAATGTGCTGACCAAGTGAAATCCATCAATGTCCGTTTATTTAACTAGGGTGAATAGTTCAATACTTTTTCCCATGACAATGGTAAAAAAAAAAAATCTCAAGTTGGTTCTATGCTTTTTCAGTTTCCTAGGATTCTGATGCTATTAAAACCAAATTACTTGAAAAATGCATCTACTAACTGAGAATGAAATAATTTTCCGCTTTCAGGGAAAAAGCTGCAGGGCAATTTTCCAAAAGCAACAGTAGGTCCTGTTTGCAGCTCAGACTGTCCAGATTTAAAAAAAAATAATTCAGAGTTTAACTAGGTTAAAGAGATATATTTTTATGCCCAATATTGTTTTGTTTTTGTTGTTTTGGCATGCATGGTATTGTTTTGACCTTCAAAAGCTTCTTAATAAGTTTTTTTTCATTATTTTCATCTCTTTGTCTTCAGGTTGAATGACTGTGACCTCTCTGAGAGAAGCTTTGAAGCTTTGGCCTCAGTTCTCAGCTCCCAGTCCTCTAATCTGAGAGAGTTGGATCTGAGTAACAACAAGCTGCAGGATTCTGGAGTGAGGCTGTTGTTTTGTGGACTGAAGAGTCCAAACTGCAAACTGGAAACCCTCAGGTCTGAAAATCAGCCTTATTTATAACTATGTACATTTATATTGAATGTTTATGTGATAAACTTATTGAGCATTGGAAAAATCTTTACTACAACTTTTAATCTACACCAAACACAAGACTCCCAGCTATCACTAAATACTGCTAATGCAGCTTCAGATGAATAGCCTAGTAAACTAGCCCCACCCACCAGCAGCCAAAATAATTTTTGCCTGCATTGGTCTAGCCTCGATCAATGCCCCAGGCACTATATCTGGTGGGCCAATAACAACGCAGAGATATGTTTTGAATTTCTGCATGAAAAGAGGGCAGGGTTTTGAGGGCATGACAACAAAGCTGCACGACGCTGGAGAAAGCACAGCAGTAGCATTCACTGTGGCAGCTTTCAATGGAGCGCCCCATTAAATTTTAAAAGTTCGAGGATATTATACTTTAAAGTATCCTTATATGGTCCATTTACCAATTTAATGCGTAGTTAAAAAACAATTTCCGAGGTTGAGAGGACCGTGGCAACCAGCGGAGCTCAGAGGCTAACGGCAGCCCCATTTGCAGCAGCCCTCTCTTGGCATAGTTATGTGTGAAGGACTGCTGGCTTTGATGGCGATTTTTGACTCAGCTTTGGAATCAGTTTTGGAAGGATTAGGCTCTGGGTTTTCACAACTTTCAAAAGTCAAAGGCAGGTCTTGAATCATCAACCTCTAGAGTGAGAGCTTTTTTCTTACAGATTACGCCACTTATGTGGATAATCGCAGAGTGGAGAAAAAACTAATTAATGCTGACGTGTCAATACTGACGTTGCTCGGATATTGATCATTACATTGTTTATTCTCACGAAAATAGTTTTAAGCAACTAGATTGGTTGTTTTTAGAATCAGAATCTATCCAAACTCTATCCAGCTGACAGCAGCTCTCCTCCAAACTCCCACATCTTGACTGAACACTGAGGCTGTTTAAATGCCTGTCAAAATTCTTGCGCATCCCAAACCACTTCCTTAAGTGTCACATGGTATCACGTAGCGAGGCCCCGGACGTCATTAATTTTGGCCCCTCCTCTAAATGAATCACGCCTCGACACGCCCTCTGGGTAAACACCCCCTCCATTACTCAACACACGCCTCTAAGCCTCGGCTCATCTCATAACATCACTACACATTGCATAGCTGTGCATTTAACTGAAATGTTTATCCAAAACAATATCAGGCTGAATGTAAACATTGCTGGTACTGAAGAAAAATCTGCTGAGACCCAAATGATTACCTGTAGGATCCAATCAGTTTAGATTAAATTAGCACATGTATCTCTAAGTATAGACTCTGTCCTCATTCTTTCATTGGTAATATTCTCCATCAGAGCCAAGGCTGCTATCCTTTCACTGTTTTTGCAGCCTTCACACATTATAGACATGACTGATTTGTTTTGCTTGTCAACATTATGACTCTTCACACCTTACTTGTTTAGTCACTCTACTGATCCACCACCGTTACTTTTTTAACAAAAAATAAAGTGACCCTTTCACAGAAGACACAGACTTTGCTAGGCAGCAAAAGACAGATTTAAAAATCTTAACTAAAGGGGCTTTTCTAACTTGCAGCAGTAAAGCGTTCCATAATTGCAGCTCAGTCTGTACAGACTGAAACATCATTTAAAATTTAAACTGGTCACAATACATAGAGATTTCTCTTTTTCAACACTTCTGGTTAATCAACACTTTTGTTTTATTCAATCATAGTTCTTCATTTATCTATCTGTCTCTTCAGACTGAATGACTGTAACCTATCAGAGAGATGCAGTGAAGTTCTGGCCTCAGCACTCAACTTCCAGTCCTCTATTCTGAGAGAGATGGACATTAGTAACAAGGTGTAGGTTGACCAGAGCCTGATAGCCATTGGAGCTTGGGTTCTGTGTGTCTCCACACTTCCCTATATGTATTTTTTACGTTCCCTTGTGTGGCATCAGATTTATGCCACCACATCCTCCAGTGATTCAGCTCTGTAGGTTTCTTCCACAAGCAACATTAGGAAACTTGTTAGTGAGCACAGGATACTCCAGTGTTCTATTAAGTGCCCTATTCTACTATTTCTCAGTTACTCCAAGAAGCATTTGTAGGATTGTCATGAAGCCACCAGGCAAAGTCCAGATGAAAATGTTCTTTATACCAGCTGCTTAAATGTAGTTGTCTCTGATGTCCCCCAGATCCAAGGAATAGTTAGATATCAGCACCCTTTGCATGTCTAGAAGTTTCAGGGCCCTCCTGACCAGATCCAAAGGGTCATAGGGAACCTGAATGAGCTAATTTCTTGTATCTAATGTAGGCCTTCATTGTGTTTCTTCTGGATCTAATGAGGTTGACTAACCCGAGCTCTTTAAGGTCAAGTGATATCTCTATTTTTAATATCTAGTGCTTAGCCTTCAAAAAACAAAGCAAAACAAAGACCTGTTTAAGTGTATGCTTGGTTTATTCTCTCTTTATTTCTCACTGTCTCATCCCTACTGTGGTAAGAGCTTAGTTTTTTATCAATTATCATCTTTTCTCTTCATCGTTTGTTTTCCTTCTGTTCATCTAGGAACAAGAAATTATCTAATAATTATCATTTATCTCACTACAGTACTTCTAAACACAAAAAAATGCAACTGGTTGCTTGAACTTTCTCCATATTTTCACCTCCAAAAAGCTCCATATTCACGTATCACGACTTACCCTTTTTACCAATCCACCAGAATTCATAGTGTATCAAAAAATGTACTTGAATAAAGGTGCGTTCACACAGACAGTGTTTTGGGTATCAAAGCCTCTGATTTACATACAAGGTCCATGGTAGACAGCATCAAGCAGTATTGAGAGGTCCTGCAGTAGGTCCAAGCATCAGGGTGCTAATAATTACAAGATTAAACATTTGGGTGTAATTTACACCTTTCAAAATACTAGTTTTGAGTTACAAAACTTATTTAAATCAATAGCTGCAGGGTGTAGAAAAGGTCAAATTACACTGTGCTGTTAACTGTAATTTCATTCAGTCCCCTAATGACACAGCAGACTCAGCAGATGGAAAAGAAAAATTACCAATAAGCCTTGAATGAAAAAAAAGAAGAATGTGGGTCTCTCAACCAGGGCATGAAATTCACAGCCACCAAACCGCTAAATGGGGTGAAAGTTTTTGTTTGACGGAGTAAACTTTAAATCTACTATTCTAAAATAGTTAACTTTGGAAAAAGTTTGGCTCTCTCTCTTCCTTTGGATCCCAGGCCCTCCTGGCGAGCTGCGTGTGGCTACAAGGAAACCAACAATGCGTGTGGACGTCACAGAATCACAGAATTTAATCCAACAAGAAACAGCTTATGAATTAACAACAAAACTGCAGAACAACATAAACATACATTCAATTACCTGAGGTAAAGAAAATATAAAAGAAAGGCAAAGACGCGTCTTTGGAGAGAGCTGGTGCAAAAAAAGCAAAATAGTGGCAGCTATCTGAATCATTACTCGTGTGCACGAACTTTTATAATGTAGGTGTGTCTTTCCTTTTAGTATATTCAGTTAAGGCGTCCCTCCGCTTGACCAGTTGGAAGCTACTTTGGACACTTAGAAAAACTTAGAACTTCCCCTAATTTATGGCAAAAATCAAAGGCCATTTGCTCCTTTGTTTAACAAAAACAGCGGAGAGCTTGTCCTGGCCTCCAGGATTCTAAGGTCATCAGAATAAGAAAAACAAAAGAAAAGATTTCCCAGATAGTTGTGGAATCTGGAGCCTCTCCTGCTATCTCTCCTTACA